AGGCCAAAGTTTCTGATTATTATTATTCTAATTCTTCCCTTTTTGTTTAGCACAAGGAAGGACCAGGAATCAATCACAGGGCAGGAGGGAGTGGGTTTTTAAAGGGAGAGGAAGAGCCAAAGGCTCTCTGGAGTCGCCAGTGCCAAAAATAACATCTCAAGGTTTAATCTCGGTGCAGTTTTAGCTGGGGAGGATCTGCATGGGGGGAAAGGCACAAAATGCACCCAAGCTCCTTCCTGAGGGATTGAACCGGCTGGAGCCTTCCTGATTTCCACTGAGGGAGCAGGAATAGGCTTTTCCTGATGCCTGTGACTTGGGAAGGACACGGGGTGCTCAGTGCTCCAGTGTTTTGCAGCGGTGCAGGGCAGGATCCGACCCTGCTGCAGCAGAGCTGCCGAAGGGGAGGTTTCCTCCCCCTCCTCCAGCTTTTCCTGTGGGAAACGACCCTGCTATCAAAAGCCCCCAGTGTCAAAGGACCCCGGTGTGGAGCCCCTGCTGCAGCCCCTCTGTGCCAAGCAGGAGCTGAGCTCTTCGAGCACCTCCAAGCGCAATTCACGGGTCCGTTTTTTTTTGAGCTGATCCCTCTAAACCTTCACTCCTTCTCCTTCATCCTCCTCCAGGCTCAGGAGGTGCTTCCCATCCCTCCTGTAGCGGGAGGATGCCGCCACTGGAGCCGGCCTTCCAGAAGCGCTCGGTGACCTCGGCTGCTGCCGACACTTCTGGCTGCCACCGCAAACAACCACGAGCTTCCCGCTGGGAGCAACGGGGCTCCAAGCTCTTCTGGAAGCTGGGCCAGGAGGGAGACCCTCCAGGAGGACACAGCCCCCAAATCTTTGCCTGTCGTCTCCTGGAAGTGTGAAAATAAGAGAATTTGTCCGTGCTGTTGTCGCGTTCTTTCAAAGCAACGAGTCTTTGCGGCATTCGCTCCAGCATTCCCTCCTTGTCCCAGCACCTCCTTTCCCATGGAAATGGGCCCAGCCGGGGACTCACGTGGGCCCGGGCAGATAATTGTAATGGTCCCCCCGGCCTTTAAATCTATGAATCACTCCCGAATCGGGGCACTTTATGCACATTAGTGAATTAATCCGTGCAGCCTCTCCGCAAGGGAGGGAATTATCCTTGTCATGGCTCAGATGGGAAATGGGTGAGATGGAGCCCGGATCTGTGCCAGGACCGGGGGTCACATCACTCACTGCGGAACAGCCGACCTGGGGGCCCCCGGCCCCGGGGGCACCCCTGACCCCGCATTAGTTACTCTGCACTTGTGCCGAGCGAGCGGGGAACGGCTCCGCAGCCTGGAAATCCATCGGAGCCCTGTCACGGCGAGATGGATGGATGGGGCGTGGGCAGCGGGGCTGCCGCAGCTGGGAGTGTGGGGAGGATGTGCTGGGTGGGCTGGGGTGTGGGCAGGAGGTCCAGCAGGCCCCCAGGGCCTGGGCTTTGCTCTCCTCACGGCTCCGTGGGTGTCCTGCCCCTCGCCCAAGGTGTGCCAGGAGAGCCAGGCAGACCCCAGGACATCCCCACTCTAGGGAGCACAAGGACCAGATGAATTTTGGAAGTGAAACCCGTGGTGGCTCCTTTTAAAGCGGGTGACTTTGAGCTCAGTTTATCCGTGCTGAGCACTCAGCGCATCATTTCCCTCCCGCACTGCAGTGCAGACACCTGCTGTTCCCTTTTGTTTCCGTGGATCCAGGTGTTTCAGCCATGTCAGGGCAGTGGGCAGTGGGCAGAGTAACTCCAGCTGTGCTGGAGTTAATGTGGGAGCAACTCCCCGGGTTGGTGGCAGCTCATTTCAGCCGTGTGATGAGCGTGAGGGGGCAGGTTTGGCTCCTCACCCCGTCCAGCCCTGCAGAGGCTGTCCCAGAGCTCGTGCTGTCCCACAGGGAACGGCTCCTTTGCACACTGGTGTGCCTGTGGAGCAGTCTGTGCTGCTGCAGCTACACCCGCTCTGTATCACATGGAATTTTGGCCAGGAGGTGTCTCGGTGCCTGGCCAGGGTCGGTGTTCCCTGAACAGGACTGTCAAGGTTAAAAACCAGCTGGAGCTGCCGGGAGAGCCAGTGGCTCCTGCACGGCCCGTTCGGCACCCGCCTGACCCTCCCTTTGCACCAAAGCAGTCACAGGCTCTACAAAAAGAGGAAAAACCCGGAGCAGCCCCTTGTTCCTCGTGTTGTGCTTGTTAAACTGATGGAAAAATCTCTGCTGCCTGAAGATCCAGGCTTCAGCCCACTGCGTTTATTCCCTGGCTCTCGCGCCGACGGAGACGGCGCATTAGTTGGTCCAGCTGGAAGCATTGTCTCCCATTAAATAAGGATTTTTAAATGAGCACATTTATCCATGGAGCTGTCACAGCCTGTTGGGTAGCGAATGCGGAGCTGCCTCGGAGCCGTTTGCTCCAAAGAGCTGTGACAGTCTCGGGTGAACAAACCCCGTGTCACCCAAACCCCGAACCCCGAACGCGGCCGTGGGGCCCTGGGGTGGGAGGGAAAAGCCAAGCTCGGGGCTGCAGGAAAAAGGGTGGAAGTGCCTCGTGGGTGCTCGTGAGGGCCAGTTGGCAGCACCGAGGTGGCATTGTCAGCCCCGTGCCTGTCCCTCACCCCAAAGACTTTACAGCCAACATCTTCTTTTTAATTCCGACACCCGCAAAATAGCAGCTGAAATAACCCTGCTGTATGTCAGCTGCTGATGGAAGGAGATTAAATATTAAAGCCGGTGCTGTGGCTTTAACTCATTCCATTTTTTTCCCTACTCTTCCCCCTCTTTCCCCCCCCTAGCCCCCCTCCCACTTCCCCTCTCTGTGTAAAATGACATGATTTAGAACCCAAGTGCCAGACTCAGCCTCTGGGTTTCGGCGTTTGGAAATGTGTGGAGAAAGATATATTGTGTCTGTGAGCGTTTCTGTGCAGGGAAGGAGAGAGCTCCCGAGCTGTGAGCCCACATAAAGATGTTAAATAGAGCTGTAACGCGCACGGAACGCACGAAAAGTGCCTGAGAAGAAGAAAAAAAAAATGAGGAAAAAAAAAATCCTGCGATGAAGCAAAATGAAAGATTAAAATAAACCCGGTGCTAGCGAGGCCGGGCTGGAATGTGGGGCCGGGGCTGGCGGGGAGAGACACAACCCTGTTCCACACCTCTTGCTGCTTCCCTCTTTGACCTAAAAATCCCATTTCTTTAGCAGAAAACTGAGCGGGAGAATCGGGAATTTTCTTCCTTTTCCTTTTTTCCCCCTGTCTCTGGTGCTCAGTGTTTCCGACGCCGCTGCCCAGCGGCCGCCTGCCTGCTAAATATTCATCCCAAACCCCCTGCTCCGCACAAAACCCTGATTTATTTCCCTCGGTTCACCCCAACCCACCGATTTTCCAACAGCACCGGGGCGAGCGGGGCCGGCAGCCGAATCCCATAAAAACCAGGGGTTTCGGAGCCGAAACCCTGGCAAAGTGTGGGTGCCCCTTCCCTCCCCGGGCCCCTCTTGCAGCGCTTCCCAGCGCCGTGGATTCCGTCTCGGTCGGCGGCGCTTCGCTCGCTTTTCCTTTGTTCGGGGACGTTTTGGCGTCGCCGGGATTCGCGATGCTCCTTGGAAAGGGCTCCCGGTGCCGGCTGGAGCAGAGCGGAGGGATCGGAAGCTGCGGGGAGGAAAGAAACCCCAGAACCAGGCGTGTTTTAGCCAAAACGTTGAGAACTTTGATTTCAGGTTTGTTTAAGGTTTAGTTACGGAGCGGATCCCGGGAGCGGCGGCTGGGAAAGCGGGAATGCGTGTGCCTGGAGTTACACAGGCGAGAACCTCTTGGGTTTTCCCCCACCAGCTCTGATTTCTTTCAATTTGAGCCCGAATTACGAGTCACCACCAAAAACACCTTCTGATCCAACGTTTTGAAGGACCCTTTGTGTAACCCCCTTGTTCTTGCGCCGAGGGGAACACGGACAGTCTGTGTGTGGGTGGGCCCCGTGTCTTGGGGTCCCCTGCCCCTAAGGGACTGTCCCCCTGCCTGCGCTCATGTCCCCAGCCTGGAAAACTCAGCAACAGAGCCGTAAATAAACGTCGGAAAAGGGTGTCACGCCTGAGCGGATTCACGGGAACAGGTGGCTTTTGGGTGGGTTGGGGTTCTGGATGGTTTAAAGAGAGAGGAAGGGAAGGGGAAAAGGGCAGGAACGCGCTGGTGCTGCTGCAGCGTTTTCTAGAAGCAGCCCGATGCTGCTGGATGCATAAAAATCCTGCGGTACGGCCGCGCCGTGCCCTCGGCCGCCGTTTGTCGCAGTCTATTAGGAGAGACGCAATCCATCCTCGGGGTTTATGGTTATTTGCTTTAACCCCATCCCTGCCTCTTCCCCCCTTTCCCTCATCCCGGCGCGTGGGGCTGGCGCAGCCCTTCGTCCCTTTGTCTGGGTTTCGGCGCCGGCCCCGCGCACACCCGGCCCGGGTGTGAAGCCCCCCACCCTAAAGCCCTGAAGTGGGATTTTTGTCCTCCCTAAACCCTCCCTAAAAGGTGGGGTTTTGTCCTCTGGTTCTCCCTGCAGGTGGAATTTTGGCGGCGGGTGAGATGCACCCCCTGCTCCGCGGGATCGGCGGCCGCTCCGTCCTGCTCCATAAACCCACGGCCTGAATCGCCTGTGCTCTGCCTCACACCATCCCAAAAAAGCTGCCTGACCCCCAGTAGCACCTAATTCCCTGCTCCATCAGCCGGCAGTAGAGCGGGGATGTTGCCCAGCAGCGCGGGTCTGCGTTTCCATCGGCTGCAGCCGCCGTGCCGCTCCGGCACTTAAAAACCTGGATTATTAAAAAAATAGCTGCCCCTCGTTCCATCCCGTCCCATTCCCCAGAAGCCTCGTTAACGGCTTTTCATTTCGAACCCCCTGTTCACACACCCCTTCCCCAGCTCCCAGCCCTCAGCAGCGATCGCGTTACGGCCCCGCCGTCCTTCCCTCCCCCCCTTCCACCGCAGGACGGACCCGTAAAACGCCAAATGCATTTATTCACCATTTTTCTAAATTGTTTCATTTCAGAGGTTCACAAACGAGGACCACCTGGCGGTTCATAAACACAAGCATGAGATGACATTGAAATTCGGCCCCGCTCGCACCGACTCCGTCATCATCGCAGGTATGTGCCCGGCCAGCGCCCAGCGCCGCGGTCGCGGGGCCTGACGGCAGAGATTGATGCCAGGGACCAGATGCACTGCAAAAAACGGCTCTGCCGCCCATAAAACCTCCTGTGATCTGCATTTAATCAGGGGAAAGGAAAGCCAGAGGCTTCCAAGTTTCTTTTTTTTTTTTTTTTTTTCTTTCTTTTTTTTTTTTTATGGGGGTATCAGGTTTTTGTGGGGTTTGGGGGTTTTTTTATTTTTTTATTTTTTTTATTTTTTTTTTTTAGCTCTCGCCCTTTTTTATTAAGACTGGAGGATTTATGGCCAGAAGGTCTTTCACATTTCTTCATGTGCTTTGAGGACGATGAACCAAACCTGACAAAGCAGCTTCCCCTCTCAGCCCAGGTGTCAATTTTCCTGAGCTTTTAGGCTGCAGTTAATAAATTAAAGCCCCATCAGGTGCACTGGCTCTGCCGAGAAGGCGTTTTGCAGAGCCCCAGTGAGGGGCTCTGACAACACATGGTCAAAGCAGCCTTTATAAAACTGGGGGGAAAAAACCAAACCCCACAGATTGTTGTCTGCAGCAGCTCCTGGCAGGTTCCAGAGCCCCTCCTGCCCTGTTCAGGGGCTGCTCAAAGCATCGTGTGAGAGGTTTGTGTTGCTGCTGGGTGAAAAGGATGTTGCTGAAAGCAGGGAGAGGGAAAATGCTTCCTGAAGGCTTCAGAGTTCATAAGGGGAAATGAAGCTGCCACAGCAACCTGGCAGCCTTTTCCCAGTGTATCTCCAGCCCAAATCCAGTGCTGAAATGGGAATTCAGTTGGTTTCTGGAAGGCTTTGAATGAATTGTTGCTGTGGGTAGGATGGGAAGAGAGCTCACACAGCCCGTGCTGGGAGGGCAGGGAGCTGCTCCCAGGGGAGGGCTCTCCCAGAGGGAGAATTCATTCCAAATGGGATCAGGCTAATGGGAGCTGATGGCAAGGAATTGGGGCAGAAGCTCACAGAAACTCAGATTCCTAAAGGTCACCTTTGCTTCAGTTCAGCCCTTTCCAAACAGGGAGCACAGTGGGAGGGTCGGTGCTGCTGGATCAGTTTAGGGGGCAGATTGGGCAGGTGGGGATGGGGGGGCAGAAATGGGGCCTGGCCTCACCCCCAGCCAAAATCCCACGTGACACCCCAAAATCCCACACATGACACCCCTCATCCTCACAGCTCCCAGAGCTGGTGGTTCCTTTCTCAGGTAGATATTGGGGGGATGAAACACTTCAGGAACAAGGTCTGGCCTCCTCTTCCAGCTCCCTCAGGGCTGATGCTCAGGGGGTTGCTCTGGGCTAAGCAACAAAAAAAAATACCCTAAACCAATTTAGCCAGGGCCAGGGCAAGACCAGCTGAACCCCCTCAAAACTGATTTACCCAAGGCCAGGGCAGGACCAGCTAAACCTTCCCAAAACCAATTTAGCCATGGCCAGGGCAGGACCAGCCTGTCTAACACAGGAGCTGTGGAGGGGGTGTGAGGAGCTGCTGGAGGGGGTGTGAGGGCTATAAACCCTTGCTGCCTTGGAGCAGTGAGATCCAGGCCGTTATTGCCTGACATTCCTTCTGTCCTGGGGTTTTTTTAAGCCACCATTTTGTCTCTGGGTTTTCTTGCTCCCTCCCTCTGTGCCGAGCCCAGGGCAGCAGCCGTGTGGCAGGAGCAGGACCCGGTGCATGTCTGGCTGAGGCGCCGTGGCTGAGCTAAGGAGGGTCGTAAAGAATTGTTCTCTGGGCTGGTTACAGCTGGCAGCAGGAGAGTCATTTATATGGGAACTTGTGGGGTGAGACAGGAGCTGCTGCAATTCCTGGGGTACGGATTGGGGAAGGGCAGGACCAGAGAGGTTCCACGGCTTTGTTTGTGCTCCGTAGAAACTGCTGGAGATCTGTGCCCTGAGCTGGCGTGTGCAGCTCAGGAGGACATTGCTAAACAGGGAATGGTCTGAAAAGAGCCCTGGGAGCTGATAAATCCCTGCAAAAACAACCTCCTGCCGAGAGCTTTAGTTGACAAAGTTCCTGGGTTTATGAATTGGGACCTGGGGGGAAGAGAAAGGTGCCCAAAGGGGGCCTTTGCTTTAGTGACAAACCCAGCGGGGAGGGTTTGGAGTCAGGCTGGAAATGAAGTGTGGTTCCTCAGCAGCAAGGTGAGGAATTGCTGGAGTCCCTTCCCAAAGGATACAGGAGGCTCCACCCTGCCCGGTGTGGAATCATGGGGCACGTCTTCCCCAGACACTTCAGGTGCTGTGCTGGAACCGGGAGCACCAGGCAGCTGGTGTTTAATGCAGGTCAGGCCAGACTATCCCAGGGATCCCCTTTGTGCGTGAGAATCCTGGTGGTTTTCTGCCGGATGGATCCTTTGGGTGTGACGTGCGAGGCTCCAGGACTCGACCTGCCGGCACTCGGGAATGGGAGGCTGGCTGAAAACAGAGAGTTTTCCTTCTGGTTTTATGGCCTGGGTGATGGCCAGAGAGATCATGACTCAACGTGTTAATGTGGTGGAGAACAGCCCCGGAGGGATGGCTGTGGACAGTGGTGGTTGTGAGGACTCTGCCCGGCCGTGGAGCTGCTCCCATCAGCTGCTTTACCCTCTCACCACTCCATGTTTTTAAGATCTGCTGTTTCAGGGAGATCAAACCCCCCTGACTTTTCCGTCCTTGTCCAGCTGAGGACGAGCAAAACCTCAGCGTGGGAGGGGCAGGACACAACCCACAGCCCGGAATTCACAGGAATCCCTGCAGTCCCCCTTGCTCCAATGATTATTTCTTTAAACACCAGAGAAACAAAACCAATGAGAAATGGTTGTCCTGTTCTGAATTGTCACTTGCTTTCGGAAGGTGACACGCACCTCAGTGGCAGAGCACCCAGACTTCCAGAAAACAGAGGCCACGTTCCCCAGGGCTCCCCAGGGAAGGACCCAGGTGGGTGAAACGCATTTTCTGGTCTCTCTTTGACCCAGTTCTTGGTGTTCTAACCCAAACCAGATCAGACTCCGACTCCAACTCGGTTCCTGAAGAACTGTGAGGAGGTGGGACTCTTCAATGAGCTGGCGAGTTCCTTCGAGCACGAGTTCAAGAAAGCTGCTGAGGATGATGAGAAAAAGGCAAGAGGCGAAGGCCGTGGTGCCATAAAACTGTGCTGGGAGCAAACTGGAGGGGAGGGCCACAGGGGGCTGGGGGGGCAGGGGCTGCTCTGATGAAAGGCACATGCCCTCGGGTAGCTGAGTTGCTCTCAGGTTTAATTTGCTGCCATGTGGGGGGCTTTATTTTTGTAACTCAGATGACTTTGGCTGGTTATCCTGCGATCCGAGCCCTGTGGAGAAAGGATTTAATGGTTTATTATTCCTTTGGCTTTTCACTTCAAAAAAAGAAAGAGGAAAAAAAAAGGGGGGGGTAGTACCCAAAATGCCTCACACTTTGGGAAGGAGCTGCAGGGAAGGACAGAACAAGATCTCGGCAAAATCTCATTCAGAGGCTTGTTGGGGGGGTCGAGATCCGAAATGATGGTGCCTCTAAGGTGCAGTCACAGGGAAGGGACCAGGCCTGGCCCGTGCCTTTGGCATTTCCAGGGTGTCTGGTACATGGAAACAGAGAGAGGGGCTCCGTGGAGGAGGGAAGCTTTTCCTAACAAAGAGCTCCCTCTGCAAAGCGCCATCGATCCAGGCTGCCCCTGCAGCCTCGGGAGCGCGAGGGTCTGAAGGACAACGGGATCTCATCAGAAAGCAGCTAATTAAGGACATTTCCCCCCCCCCTCCTCCCGTTGCCGGATTCGAGGAGCAGCAGATGCGTGCTGGGCTCTCAGCCTGGCACATACATTTACTAAATTGATGTATGTCCGTACATACGCTCGCAGTCAGCGGCGCTGCTCGGAAATAAACTGCGGGAGCGGAGCCGCGTAAATCTTCCCGAGATGGGGAACGGAGGAATTCAGAATTAAAACTGAAACCTGGCTTCCACCCGCTCCCCCAATAACAGGCTCTTTAAACCGAAATTGATCTCTCTCATTGGTATGCGGCGGGGCTGCTCCCCGCTCCCAGCTCCTGCCCTTTGTTCTGGCAGCGCCGGGAGAAGGAGCCGCCGCTGGGGTTTCACATGGAAATGCCGAAGCAGCCGGGTCTGGGCAGGGAGACCACCCAGCTCCTGGGCTCTGCGGCCTCCCAGCCGCCTCTCGGGCCCAGGGCTGCTCTCCTGGGTTTTGCTTTAGGATGGCTGCAGTCTAAATATTCCTGCGGCAGCCGCGGAGGGGGCTTGTGAAGCTTGGGGTGGTGTCGGGCGTTACGGGAAGCGTCATCCCTTCAAAACCCCCCTGCCCAGGCAGAGCCCGTGCCCAGCTGGCTGGTCACTGCCTGGACCTGTCCGGAGCTGCGGTTCTGAGGTGCTTCCAGCATCCAGTCGTGTTTGTCCTCCAGTTCCAAGGGTGGTCTCACACCAGCGCGTTAATTAAAAACACAGGCACAGCAGGAGCTTCCCTGGAGGCACTTTAAGTGGTTTGAAACTTCCCTGCATGTTAATCCCTGCTCCTTTGTGATTCCCAGAGCAACATCTCTGCGTGAAGAGGGCAGGTAAATGGTTACTGCACCTACCGCAAGCAAAGCCCCCAGGAAATCTGGGAAGGGCAGAGGGGCTGGAGCCTCATCCTGCTCTAAAACACCCCCAAGCAGAAGGGCTGGAGCCTCATCCTGCTCTCAACCATCCCTAGCTGCCCGGATTTACCCTTTTGCTGCAGTTTTCCCTGCCCTGAGAGGACTCACAGTGCGGCACGAGGGGGTTTAGGGGAGATGCCAGGATGGACTTTCAGCCAGCAAAGGGGAGCGTGGGGATGGATGGTGAAGGGAGGGAGAACAGGCTGGACAAACAGCTGTCAGGGCTGATTTAGGGACAGTTTCTCCTGCCCGGCCGGGAGGAGGGACCGGGTGATTTGGTGCCGCATCCTGCCATCCGTGTCTCGTTCCTCCGCCGCTCCCTGCACCATCTTCTCCCGGCTCTTCTCTCCCTCCAGTTCTTGGAAGGGGACAGGTTTAGTTCAGTTTAGCTGTCCCCCCACCTTGTTGTCACCCTGCAGCCCCAACAAGTCGTTAACTGGTTCAACTGGGGCACGTGGCACTGCTGGATCCCAGGGTGGTGGCAAGTCGCCAGGTTCAGGCATATGGTTGGGTTTTATTTTAATGGGGCGCTCATAGATATTTAATAACTCGCATGGCTCTTTGTTTGCTTTTGATAATCGGGTAATAAAATAATTCAGGCTGATTTATACAATGCTTTACAGCTCTTCTGTGAATGAAAGTGCCTCCTGTAACTCGCAGGCATTTGGCTTTGGTACCTGTCCTCCTTAGCAGAGCCCTTTTATTAAAAAAAGAAAATGTAAAAAAAAAATCCATGGAAAACTCGTGTGTGTTACTGAGAACCCACAAACTGGTGCCATCTGGGGCTGACTGTCGTTCCTGGGCCTCCGTCTCTGTTTGGCCGGGGCCGGCGCGGCACCGCTCTGCTGCCTCGGGCTCCCAGATGCTGCTCCACTACAAATAAATAATAATAATTTGGCAAGAGCTCGGAGCTGGAGCTCTTCCTCTGGGAGCAGCCGAATGTTTCGCAAACAATATGAGCTAATTGTCCTTTCAATCCGTGGCTGCTTTTCCCGCAGAGCGCCGGAGCCCTGGACATGTCCCTGCCCTCCACTCCCGAGATCAAGATCAAGGAGGAGGAGCCGGTGGAGGTGGACTCGTCCCCCCCAGACAGCCCCGTGTCCCACCCACGGTCACCCCAGCACAAGGAGAAGGTGAGGCTCCCCAGCACGAGGTGGTGGTGCCCCTTTTCCAGGTGGGAAGCTGTTTCTCCAGATGGCTGCCCAGGCCTGATTTGTGCTCTTCGAGGCCTGATTTCCCTCGTTTGAGACAGAAACGGTTCACTAAAATGCACCGTTGCTGCCCTGGAGGCTCCCGGTGGGTTTGGCTGATGCACAAAGCCTTGCTCTTCCCTGTGTCCTGGGGGGTGGGGATTTGGAGCAGGTTGGTCCAGGTGACACTTTCACCACCTGAATAAGGTGGGGATTCAGAGGGGGGGATTATCTGGAGTGTAAATTCCTGTGCCCCACTCCCTGCACTGACACAGATACGTGTGTCTTTGGGAGAGGTGCTCCCCTCCATCCCTGGGGTTCTGTGACAAAAGTGCCTGAATTTTCCCTAAAGAGGAAGAGTCAGCCCTGTGGTAACTAACTGGTAATTAACAGCGGGTCCCCTGTTTTCTGTTTTCCCTTCCAGGAGATCCCCTCCAAGCCTGTCATCCTCTCCACGCCCACTCCCACCATCGTGCGCCCCGGCTCGCTGCCCCTGCACCTGGGCTACGACCCCCTGCACCCCACATTGCCATCCCCCACCTCTGTCATCACCCAGGCCCCTCCCTCCAACAGACAGCTGGGGTGAGTACGGAGCAGGGGCAGGAATTACCCCCTGGATGAGTTCCCTGAGTGCCAGACCCGCGGAGGTGCCGCCGGCCCCGCTGCAGCTGCATGGGCATAAGGGCCTCGCTGGGCACTGTCTGCAGCAGCAGGATGGGATGGGAGTGCAGGAAACGGGAACTAATTGTGCTGGAGTAACGAGACGAGGCAAAACTCACTGTGGGGAGAGATGAAAACACTCCCTGAACACGAACACGCCGACACGGCGCTGGCTGTCGGCACCGGGCGCGGGCAGAGCCGGCGCTGCGGAATTGTCTGGAGCTGTAACAGCTCAGGGGTTTTCCCAGACAGCTGTTGCCTCTCGAGTGTCACCTCTTGTGCCCAGCCAACCCTGCCTTGGGGGGGCTGTTTGCTTCTGCACAGCCAACGACCTGCTTCTGTTTGCCCTGGAACAACCAGGACGGAGGCTCCGGCTCCTCCGGCCCTGCACGTAAAGGAAGGAGCCTGAGGACGGAGGGAGCACATTGCTGAGCCCCTGGGAGATGCATGTTTAGCCCCCTGTCTGTTTGGTGTCAGGATGCTCCTGCTTCTCCTCCCTGGTCACCCTTGGTCAGGGCTGGCTCGCTGTGTTAACCAGCCCACTTTGTATTTTTGGGGCTGTCACCTCATGGTTTTATGTGTGTTTGCCTTTGACCCTCTGGCACCATCAATCCAGACGGCCTGGTGGAAAATTTTAAATGCTGTCTTGAGGCATGAAAGGGTTAAGTGGTTGTCCTGGGGGTAGCTACAGGACACTGTAAGCCCCTCTGCAGGCCAGGCAGAGACTCTGGGGCTGTTTGGAGCTGTGTCCAGTAGGTTAGGCTTTAGTATGATTTGCTGTGCTCTTTGCAGCCCAGACCCCACCTGCAGACAGAGAGGTGGGGCTGCAGTGGTAACAAGGGTCCCTTCATTAGGGCCACTGCCAAGGCGGTGGGGCTGGTGTCAGCGTGACAGAGATGGAGGGGAGGCTGTGACCTCCCTGTAACTCGCCTGGTTGGGCTGGGATTTCCAAAGCAGCCTGGAGGATTTGGGACGCCCAATAGAAATGACTGAGAGTCGAGCGTTCGCGTTCCCAAGGCAGCCTTAAAAATTCCAGCCTGAGTTATTGGCAGGATGAACTTCCCCCTCTGACCCACGTCCCCTGCTCCTCCCACCGTCCCCTGCTCCTCCCACCGTGCCAGCACAGCCTCCTCCCAGGATCCCAGGCAGCCCGGCCTCCTCCAGCCCCTTCCCCGGGCTTGGCAGAGGAGGCAGCAGCAGATTTATTTTACTCTCCCTCCCGCAAGGCCGGGCTCCCAGCTCGGCTCTGCCTCCACTTGGTTCCCCACAGCACTGACATGGCTGGAGGAGGAGGAGGAGGAGGAGCAGGAGATCAGGCCCTGTGGCAGGGATGGTTTCCTTCCTCTCCCCATCATCTGGAGCAGCTCTGGCTCTTCCTCTGCTCTCGTGGAAAGGCTGAGTCTGGATGGTTGGAGCTGGAGCACAGTGGGGTTTGTGGTGGGATAGAGGCAGGGGGAACGTCCCTGCTTGGGGTGTGTCCCTGGGTGGGGTGTATCCCTGCCTTTCACTGCAGAAGGACCTACAATAGAAATATTTCCTGGTATTTTTAATTGGTCACAATTAGGCTCCAGCACAATCTCCTCCTCCCCAGCCTGCAGCGAGCCGGGACGTCCCATCTCCCGATTCCCATCTCCCCGTGTAAACACGAGCCAGCCCAGCATCCACCCTCTTTTTAGGGGGTTTTCTCTGGAATCAGAAGTGCTTGTTAATGGGAAGCTGAATCCTTACAAAACCCCCTGTTGGGAGCTCAGCAGTGGACAGACCAGGAGGTTCCCTGTAGGCAGGAGCAGCTGCCCGGGCAGTGCCAGGCTCAGCCCAGGAGGAGCAGTTCCAGCAGTTCCAGCACATCCAGCCCTTGGATGTGTTTTTCTCTCCGTTCAGGTGGCCGTCGTGGCTCAGGGCTTTGGCAGCCACAGTGTTTTGGGCAGCTGGGGTATGCCCAGGGCACATCCATGTGTCCCTGACAGCCCTGAGCAGGCCGTGTGACACTGCCATGAGCGTGCAGGGCCATCGGGCATCACTGCCAACCCTGGTCACCTCAGTGTGACACTGCCATGAGCGTGCAGGGCCATTGGGCATCACTGCCAACCCTGGTCACCTCAGTGTGACACTGCCATGAGTGTGCAGGGCCATTGGGCATCACTGCCAACCCTGGTCACCTCAGTGTGACACTGCCATGAGTGTGCAGGGCCATCGGGCATCACTGCCAGCCCTGGTCACCTCAGTGTGACACTGCCATGAGTGTGCAGGGCCATTGGGCATCACTGCCAGCCCAGTCACCTCAGTGTGACACTGCCATGAGCGTGCAGGGCCATCGGGCATCACTGCCAACCCTGGTCACCTCACTGTGACACTGCCATGAGTGTGCAGGGCCAGCTGCCAGTCACCTCAGTGTGACACTGCCATGAGTGTACAGGGCCATTGGGCATCACTGCCAGCCCAGTCACCTCAGTGTGACACTGCCATGAGTGTACAGGGCCATTGGGCATCACTGCCAGCCCAGTCACCTCAGTGTGACACTGCCATGAGTGTACAGGGCCATCGGGCATCACTGCCAGCCCAGTCACCTCAGTGTGACACTGCCATGAGCATGCAGGGCCATCGGGCATCACTGCCAACCCTGGTCACCTCACTGTGACACTGCCATGAGTGTGCAGGGCCATTGGGCATCACTGCCACCCCTGGTCACCTCAGTGTGACACTGCCATGAGCGTGCAGGGCTATCAGGCATCACTGCCAGCCCAGTCACCTCAGTGTGACACTGCCATGAGTGTGCAGGGCCATCGGGCATCACTGCCAACCCTGGTCACCTCACTGTGACACTGCCATGAGCGTGCAGGGCCATTGGGCATCACTGCCAACCCTGGTCACCTCAGTGTGACACTGCCATGAGTGTGCAGGGCCATTGGGCATCACTGCCACCCCTGGTCACCTCAGTGTGACACTGCCATGAGTGTGCAGGGCCATCGGGCATCACTGCCACCCCTGGTCACCTCAGTGTGACACCAGCACATCTCCTGCCCTGCCACGAGCGTGCAGGAGGCCGAGTTACCCTCACACCCCCCCAGCTGAGCTCTGCACCCTCCCCTTCAGAACAAACCACTCAGAAACGGGGAAATGAGCCCAAATCCACCGACTGGATTCGCTCACGCTGCTGCCCCTGAGCTTCCCGGGGCCACCGGGACGTCGTAAACCTGGAATAATCTGTGAGAACTCCGGCTCTTGTTTCTGCAGGTCTCCCACAGGTTCCCTCCCACTCGTCGTGCAGCTTGCGAACGGCCAGACCGTGCCCGTGCTCCCCGGCCCCCCCGTCCAGATGCCTTCTGTCATATCGGTGAGAGAAGCTTCCAGCACAGCCCCGTGTGGAGGAGGGGACGGGCCTTTCCCCTGCCAAACACACACAGACACTTCCATTTCATAAACATTAAAATCCCTCTCCCCCTCTGTGCGAGATAAGACCGGAGGAGGAGGAGGAAGAGGAGGAGGGAGCAGCTCTGGCAGGGCAGCAATAACGTGTGGATCACACTAGAGGGCAATAAGTTTGGGGAAAAAAGCAAATCCGTGCCCGGACAGATGGCTCACGCCATCGATCCGGGGCTGGGAGCTGCAGGATCCCTGATTAGCTGCTTCCATTTGGAACAGAGTGCCTGCACTGAAACCACCAGAGCTTGCAGGGAACATGTTGGTGTGTGCTGGCCAGGGGAATGGCCAGACCAGCCTCGGCTTGGGCTTCTGCACACAGAGAGTTTTCTGTGGGGCAGAGTGACTGCAGATCTGCCTGGTGGGGGTTGAGTGTGTCCTCTGAGCTCTCCAGCTCCTGATCCCCAGCCCTGGGAATCGTGTCTGTCCTGCTGGGCACGTCCTTGGGGCTTTGAGTGCACAAGGGCTAAAACCATCTGCCTCAGGTGCACCTCTACTCATGGCCTGTGGGCATGGGAACATCCTCACCCCTTCCCTCCCTATTTGCAGTGCTTTACCACCCATGGGGCTTATAAACATGACCAAATTCTGGTTTTCCCTCCCTTTGCTGAGGGAGAAAGCTCAGGAGGGGACGCTCCCCTTTTGTGGGTGCTGTGTCAGCTTTGCAATAGAACCAGGGGGGATCCAGGACCCTCCCTCTCATCCATGGCATGTACTGGTGGGGGAGAGCCCACTGGCAGGGAAGGGAAGGGAAGGGAAGGGAAGGAGCTGCCCCCCTCCCTGTGCTCCGTGCTGGGCTGGTTTGTTTGGGTGATTCTGGAACAGCCTCCGTGGCCACCAACGTGGCTGGTGGCCCTCAGTGACAGCAGGAATAACGGATGGCCGCAGTTAAACGTTTGTCAGGATTTATGGATGTGCTTGGTCAGGGAATTACTGCAGAGCTGCTCCACGGAGCCAAAGCACCTCCAACTTCCCAACCCACGTGTCCCTCGCTCCCCCACAGCTGGCTCGGCCGATGTCCATGGTGCCGAACATTCCCGGTATTCCTGGGCCTCCCATCAACAGCAGCGGGTCCATTTCCCCGTCAGGACTCCCAGTGCACTCTGAAGCCAAAATGGTGAGTGTTGGGGAGGGGGTCACGGTCACAGTGTTGTCCTTGTCCCTCAGCCTTCACCACCACCTCCACAAGCAACTCCCGGCTGGAGGCTTTTCCCCTACAGCCTTCATAAAGATTCCTCTGGAATCCTGTGTAGCCATCAGAGCAATTCCTGCTCCCAGCACAGGTGCTGGAAGTGCCACCAGGAACATTGGAGCACTCAGTGCTCGGCGCTGGCAGCACAGGAGGCTGTGAGTGTCCGGACAAACCCTGTCCCCAGCCTGGGGGCGGCTGGTGGTAAAGCTGGAGCTCTGGTTCCAGGATGGCAGATGGGATGGAGGTGGGATTGAGGAAGGCAGAGCCACGGGAGGAGAGGTTTGGGCTGTAATTCAGGAGATCCTGATCATGGTTTTCATGTCAAACCCATTAACTAAGACTTTACAAGAGGAACTTTCCTCTCGTGGCTCCTCACGGCTCAGGCCGGGTGTGCACAGGGGGGAAGCAAAGCTGATGGATGTGGCACAGGGGAAGCAAAGCTGATGGATGTGGCACCTGGGGACATGGCTCAGCAGTGCCAGGACTCAAATGATCTCAGAGGGCTTTTCCAGCCTCAACGATTCCACGATTCTCTGAAGCCCCCATTTTTTGGGCTGGGCAGGTGTTTGCACACCCACCTCTCCCAGCAGTGCTGCTCACGGCTGCCAGCATATTGTCCTCACTCCTGTTCTAGGGTCTGCAGGACTCGGGGGCAGATCAGAGCCTCAGGTGGGGAGAGAGATCATAAACTGAGGCACAAAACAGCCATGCTGACCTGGCTGCCCAGAGAAAGGACTTGCAAACCACGTGTGGATCCTTCTCCATCCCCTAGGACCCCTCTGTGTGTGCTCAGGAACAGTTGGGCTCTGCAGCCTGTTCAGTCCCTGGGCTTTCCATGGAACCTGCCAGCTGGGGAGGGGTTTGGTGCCAGTGGCAGTAGCAATTTTGGGATGTGACACCTGTCTGTTGGGTTGGACACTGCTCTCTCCTCGGGCAGGCCAGATGGTGATGGCTTTAGGTTGGACTCGAGTCAGCCGCAGCCTCTGAAGAGCCTGTTCCAGGCAGAGTGGCTCCTTGGGTGACAGGAGCTGCTCAGAGCCTTGGCAGCACAGAGAGCAGGTCCCCTGATGTCCCTTCTCCTCCTTCCACAGAGGCTGAAGGCCAGCCTGACGGCCTCCTCCTCGCTGAACGGCAGCAACCTGGTGGTGGGCTCAGCCAGCACGATGGTGACGGCGCGTCCGGAGCAGAGCCAGATCCTTGTCCAGCACCCCGACGCCCCTTCCCCGGCTCAGCCACAGGTCTGCTGCTGCTGCTGCCCCACGAGGCAGGGCTGGAGGTGCTGGGGGGTTCCTGGGCTTGGGGAAAGAGGAGGAAAACCGCAGCTTCCTCCCTTGCGGAATGGGTTAAAGCCCTGTTTTTCCAGTGCCGCTCACAGCCCACCAGGCAGAAGCTCCAGCACCGCTTTCATTTGCCTGACGAGGTCTGGAGTTTGGAAAGAATATTTCCCTCTCTTCTCCCTGCTCAATTACTGGGGTTAAACGCTCCCCTCTCAGGCAATCAGCTCCACTGGCTCCTGCCAGCCAGCCAAATGCCAGCCTTCCATCAGGATCGCCACCTGCTCCGTCACTTGGATGGGCTTCCAGAAGTTTTAATATCCATATGCTGCCCGACAGCGAGTGCTGGAGTGTGGCTGCACTCCCTGGGTGTAATTGCCCCTTGCAGTCGGGGCTGCTGCACCATCAGCCCTCGCTGGCTTTTCCTTTGTTCTCCCAAAATAAAACCGGGGAACGTGCGGCTTTACAAAATCCTTTGGTACCATTTACCTCCAAGAGCTTGTTTAGCTGAAGATACTGGGGGAAAGTTCACCCAAATTAACTTTTTAAGCAGATTACCCACTCAGAAACTGCCATTTGCTCCGTGACACTTCCTGAGCCCAAACAAGAGATGGCACCTTGGCGGGTACGGCAGCGGGATCGAGCGGGATTGAGCTCTCCCAGCCGAGCTGTGGTGACACCGCCGTGTTCTGCCTGCCCCGGAGCTGCTGTTCAGTGTCTCCCACCTGCCCCATCCCCAGGTGTCCCCTGCCCAGCCCACCCCCAGCACGGGCGGGCGCCGCAAGCGCACGGTGGACGAGGATCCGGACGAGCGCCGGCAGCGGTTCCTGGAGCGGAACCGGGCGGCCGCCTCCCGCTGCCGGCAGAAACGCAAGCTCTGGGTGTCCTCCCTGGAGAAGAAAGCCGAGGAACTCACCACCCAGAACATCCAGCTGAGCGTGAGTATGTAACCAGGGCTGAGAGCAGCCCTTGGCCGGCGTTGGGAACGTCTCTCCCGAGGGAACGTCGCTCCGGAGGGAACGTCCGCCCCGTGCCGCAGAGCCCACGTGCGCTCGGGTGCTGCCTCCCTGACCGGCTTTCTCTCCTGGCTTTCCATCCTGATGGGTTGAAAAGCAGCCCTTGGGGGAAGAGCACCTCAGGGCTCATTTTTTTCTCCCCGTTGCCCCTGGAAAGGCTCTGCCCTCTGGCTGCCAACCTTGCAGGCAGCACATGGAGCCTCGGGAAGCAGCCGTTTTTCCCAGAGTGGAATTTCCCTGAGTGAGGGAGAGCTCTGCCAGCTCCATTCCCTGAACACTGGACCCATCAGGGGGAAGCAGGGAAGCTCTGCAGACTGATTTTTCTCTGGAGAACTGGTTTTCCCTGGCTCTTGGCAGCACCCTGGCGTGCCAAGCAGAGGTGCAGCACACCTGAAAATACAGATTTCACTCCCAATGCCACAAGCCCTGTTAGTGCTCTCAACACTGGCTGAGGGTGAGGTGAGGACTGAGCTTGGCTCCGTTCTGGGCCAGTGACTTGGGCACTGGGATCTTTACTGGAGCTCTGACCGTGGTGTTTTTATTCTCTTCCCAAGACAATTATAGAAACTATTTCCTTGGGCAGTGGAATAATCTACTGTACAGGTTTTTGGGGAGCAGACCTGGCTCACAGGAGCTCACAGAGGTACTGAGACCGTGGAGAAACTGCAGTGTCCCCCCATGGCCTGGCCTGGGCTGGTTGTACATTCCCACGTGTCCCACCAGAGCCAGCAGCACTCCAGAGTGTCCCTCAGGCAGGTGACATTGGCAGGAGGGCTCAGGAAAAGCTCTGCCCAGGGTTAGGTGACTGTAGCAAGGCCTCTGCAGCTGGTGGCAGGGAAGCACTGCAGCCCATGTCCTAAATTCCTCAAATCCAGGAACTTTGCCAGGTGTTCTAGGGCTGGAGGTATCTCAGATTAGTTTGCAGGGTTCACCCATGAACATCCTGGTGCTGCTGGGGCTGCTGTGAGTGATGCCCATGTGTGTTTGTCCCCTTCAGAATGAAGTGACGCTGCTGAGGAACGAGGTGGCTCAGCTCAAGCAGCTGCTGCTGGCCCACAAGGACTGTCCTGTCACGGCGCTGCAGAAGAAGACACAGGGCTACCTGGGTGAGTGATGGGCTTCTGCTGGTCCCTGTAACCTTTGAACAGGTCAGGATTATGAGCTGTAAAGGAAGGGAGGGAGTTCTCCTCTCAGTCTGTGCCCCATCAGCTTCCAGTCACTGCAGTGACAGGGCAGGGCTGTGTCACAGAAACACGGAATGGAGCACAGGGCACATGGCATGGAGAATATAGAACACCCTGGGTTGGGAGGGGCCCACGAGGCTCATCCAGTCCAACTCCTGGCCCTGCACAGGACACCCCAAGAATCCCACATGTGCCTTGGGGCATCTTCTGCGGGTGCAGCCCCCACGCTGAGGAGGAGCCCCCGAATTGGCACTTTAACTGGTGCACGGATCTTTTGAGGGAAGGAGGTGTGTGCCTCCCTCTGCCTCTCTGGTGTGGGATGCTGGACAGAGATCCACGTGTCTGCTTCTCCCTGGAGTCTCTCCCTGCTCCTGGCAACGTGCCAAGCACTTGATATTCTCTTTGAAGTTAAAAACTCTTGCTCCAAAGCAAAGGCAGAGTCAGGAAAGGCCAGACTCTATAAATGACATCATAGGGCTCCATAGCTCATTCTCTGCAATTCCCATCAAACTGGCTCGGTTTGGAAGCAAAAAAACCTCCTTTTTTATCTTCTTTTCTTTCTTTCTTTTTTTTTTTTTAATGCTGCCTATTTCATTATAATCAACCCAGGAGCTAAACACGATGATCCTGGGTCCTTCTGCCCTGCCTGCAGTACCAATTCCAGGCTGTGGTGCTGTGAGGCTTTGGGAGGACGCTGGAGTCCTCTAGTGTTGCCTGGAATAATGGGAGGAGAGGCAGGGATGGATGAGAGGAGAGAAGGGAAGGGGGAACAGAAAAAGCCAAGGAAGCAAAAATATAAATTACAAAAAGCCAATGTCCTTGGGGGTTGGCCCTTGATCCCCTCTCTGGGAATGTTGTCCTGGAAGGGTCTGGCCCAGCCCGTTCGTTGTCACTCACTGCAGTGACTCAGGGCCTGAGTGATGTGGTCGTGGCTGTCCCCGTGTCCCAGCCCTGCAGAACCCAGGCAGGAGACCTCATTTTTCCCCCCTTCCTGTTAAATTCCAGAGTTTACAATTCCTATTACTATTCCTCACAAGTCTGCCTACTGCAGTAACAGGAATTCATGACACATCTGAATACTAAAAATGAGATTCGCCCCCTCCCCTGTGCCCCCCTCCCCTCTGCCCTTTTTATTGCTGAGATTTGTGGCTGGTCCTGTAACAAAGCCCCAGATTCCCTGATGGAATTGCAGCTGCCTCCTGTACACTTGGGTGGTTTATTTTTAATATCTTGTAAATCTCCTGATTTTGGGGATGCCAGATGATTACATTGCTCTGCTCAGCCTTCTCCAAGCCCGTTCTCCAACCTGCTGTGCTGCCATGGCTTTCACCCAGGCCGAGGTTTCCCGAGGGAAGGTAGAAGCCATCTGGGAAAGGAGAATGATGTCCAAGCACCTGATGGAAAACTGAGCCCCAGAGTCCATTTTCTGGTGCCCAGTGAGGTTATAAACCCCTCCCCTGATTTTTTCCCCCAAGTGTCAAAGGTTTCACTGTCTTGGTGTGGAAGAAGTATCCCAGTTCCTGCCTTAATTTGGCTTTTTCAAAGGAAAGTGACCCCATCCCACCTGTAATTCATCTGCCCAAGTGCTCAGGAAGGAATTTCCTCCTGGCATCTGTGGATAATGAGTGTGTACCCCAAAGAGAGCTCTGGCTGCCCTAGGCATGGCATTTGATAGCTCACAAATTATCCTCTGGGTGAGGAGCTGTGGGGGCTCCTTGGGGGAGAGAATCCAAAGTCCTGAAGCTGATCAGAGCAGGGAAGAAGGGCTCTGTCCCCTCAGTCACGTTGCTTCAAAGCTACCAAAAGAAATGGGGCAAACAAAGGGACTCTGGTTGATTTTAATGTCCTGGAGAACAATTAAGAGCAAACCAGGTAATTTATATCAAAAATGCCCCGAAGAGCCCAGGCCTTGGCTCTGCCAAAGGGATTGTGTTTCACCTCCTCCTGTGCCCACCCAGCTGGTCTCGGGGCTCAGTGGCCTGGAGGAGAGGAGGTGTCATGGGGGGAAGTTAATTCCTTGTAACGAGGAAAAACATTGATTAGGATGAAGGTAATGCCAGTGCCACCCTCCTCGAGGTCCAGCCTGCACTTTGTGGCTACCTGGCTGGAATTCAGGAGGATTCCATGGTGCTTCTCCAAAGGACTGGGGCCAGCAGGACCTGGGCAGGGTCGTTAGATCCCAGCTCAGAGCAGTTTCATTTCCAGTCCTTGAATCAGTTTTTGTTTCCAGTGCTTGGCAGCTTTTGCCAAACAGCTGCTTGGGGTGGGCTGGGGCCTCGAGGGGAGTGCCTGGCCTGGTGGGGGGAGCTGGGATTCCACAGGAATCATCCTCTCTCCGCTCCAGGCTGGAAAGGTGAGCGTTCAACCCACACCTCCCTCCCCCTCGCAGTGCCACCACCACCACCCCCACAGCCTCTCTCTAACTTTATTTTCTTCTTCCCCTCCCCTCCTTCCCCGTCGGAGCAGAGAGCCCGAAGGAGAGCTCGGAGCCCACGGGCTCCCCCGCGCCCGTCATCCAGCACAGCTCCGCGTCGGCCGCCCCGAACGGGCTCAGCGTGCGCTCGGCGGCCGAGGCCGTGGCCACCTCGGTGCTGACGCAGATGGCCGGGCAAAGGACAGAGCTGGGCCTGCCCTCCCACGTCATCATGGCCCCACAGTCCCAGTCTGCCGGCAGATGATGGCCCGGAGCCGAGCACAGACTGACCACGGCCCTGGTCCTGCCCAGGGCGGGCCCACGAGGATTTTCGTTTCTTTTTTTGGGGGTTTTGTTTTGTTTTGTTGTTTTGTTTTTTTTTCTGAGTTAAGGGCAGCTCTGGCGCTTTCCCACTGCACAGCCTGTACAGTGCCCTCAGTCCCTCAGCTGGCACTGGGCAGAGCCCCCCCAGCTCCCAGAGCCCCCTCTGAGGAGCCCCCGGAAAGGTGGGCTGGCAGGGATCCGTCACGGTAACACTAAACCTCTGTGCCTGGGGATCCCCTCGGCACAGTCCCTGCTCCAAGCCCCCTCTCCCTGCCCCCTGCCTTCAACAGAGGGGCTCAGGGGGGCTCTGACACTCAGTGCTGCTCCCAGGCATCTGCTCGTCCCTGCTCCCATTCCCTGAAACATTGCACCTTGGCACAGGAGCCTCCTGGAGCTCTGAGCTTGCAGGGATTGAGGTCGGTCTCCTCACTCCCGAATTCCAGTGGTGGATCTTGGACACGACGGGAGTGTGACCGCTGTAAATTTGGCTGGGAGAAGGGGACACGTGTTCCCGGTCACCGGTGCCGCGCCGGGAGCTGCAGGTGCTCAGGTGCTGCTCCCACGCCGGGTGCTGGGAAAGGTACGGCCTGTCCAGGCAGCCACGGGGCTGCTCCCGTCTTCCCTATGGCAAACAAGTGCTGGTGGGCATCCACAGGGACCGGGCACTCTGGGATTCAGGGAAGGACCCAGCAGGCAGCGACATGTGAGTCCCCAAATCCGGCATCCCGCACACCTGAGCGAACCCATCCCTCCGTTCCCAGGGATCATCTCCCACACACGTGACCTCGATGACCTTAATAATGGTGGCCTTAAATCGTGGATTAGTTGCCTGTTCCGAGGGGAGGGAGCACGGGATGGTGTCTCTGCCTCTTCCTCACGATGATGTTCTGCTCGCGGTGACGGAGCATCCGTTGCTTCCCAGCCAGAGCAAACAAAGGATTCATGGAGCTTCCAGTTCATAGGGCAGGTTAGGAACCCACCCTCCGTGTTGGGAGACTCTTGGAATTGGGTCTGTTTTCCTGCCAGGTGGGCCTTGGGCACGTGTGTGTCCATGTGTGTCCTTCTGTGCTTCCCGAGGTGCCGATTGGAGCCGGTAGTTTGGAAATGGGAAGGGTTTTCACGTGTGTTCAGGCTCTTGGAAGGAATCTTGTCATGGTCCATGGAGTTGCATCAGCCCTTGGTCTTCCTCCCCTTCCCAGGTTCCTCCTCAGCCAAGCCCTCCTCCCCCTCAGGTCGCACTTTGCCACTTTGGAGCCAAGTTGGTTTGTCCAAGTGATTTTTGTTTGGCTTCCCCAGACTTGGAAGGTTTCCAGGGACAGCAAAACCCAAAGCAAAGGCTGAGCAGGAAACTTGGAATCTCATCACGGACAGGGGAGTCCAGTGGTTTGGGTTTTTCCATGGATGGGATCTGTCTTCTCCCCCTCCCTCTTTCCCAAGTCTTCCGCACCTCTGCGGCCGCACCGACCACTCGTGGCCTGGGGTTGGTTTGTGTTGCTGCTCCTGCACTCCCCCTCTGTTCTCGTGCTCATCCCAACTCCTGTCTGCAATTGGGGTCACATCCAGCCTCTGGTTTGGATCCCACACATCCCCCCAGACCCGCCTTTCCCTCCTGTAAAGCTGTTCCTGCACAGTCCCTGGGTTCACAGGTGTTTCCAGCATTCCCAGTCCCAACCCAGGACGTGACCAGGCCGTAGTGGATCAAGGGTTGGACTTGATGATCTCGGAGGTCCCTTCCAACCCAGCTGATTCTATGATTCTAAGGGTTTGGGGCCGGGTGAGGCACAGCAGGGGGTCAGGCCTGTTTTGGGGTGATTGGTGGTGTCTGGCAGCTCCTCCTGGGCCATCCCAGCACTCAGCTCTGCAGGAAAACCTGTCCCTCCAGGAAAAGTGTTGGTGGGAAGGGGAAGGAATTGAGCTCTGGGCTGGTCCCACCGCTGGTTCCCTGTTTGCTGTGGGGTCTGGGGGGAAGGAGAGACGAAGGGCAGTGGGGGCTTCACTGGCAGGATCAGGAGTGAGCAAAGGGTGGAGAGGTGGAAAATCTGGGACAGTGTTTGGATCAAAGGCAGCAGCTTCCCCAGCCCCTTGTTTTACCCTCGGGGAGTAAAAGTGGCTGGATTCTGTGTGATGGGAGAGCCAAGCCTGCAGCCCACAAAGGGCTTTTCCTGCCTCACCACTCCAGGGAATCCTGGTGGCCCCACTGGGATGGGGGTGCAGGAGCAGCTTTTCTCCCTCTCCCTCCATGCCCCGATGCCATCAGTGCCACCCCATTCCCACATCTCCCATCGCCAGCGCTTTAGTGCCTTGAAAATTCTGCAAATCCAGGAAAAGGTCATTGGAAAGCTCCAAATCTGGGCAGGGACAAGCGGGGAACAAGCAAGGAACAAGGATTTGGCCATACCTGGACTTATTATTGCTTCAGTCACAGGGTTGGAGCTCCCTGTGCCCGTTTCAGGTGTGTTTTACCTCAAAGGCTGCCCTGGAAGCAGATCCCAGAGCGGGCTCAGGTCCCGTTTCTCGTGCTGGGATGGAGTTGGATGGTGCAAAGCAGGAATCCACAGGGATCCAGCCTCAGGAGGATCCTCTGCTCCCATCCAGGTGATGGGTGATGTCCCAGGAGTCACTTTGGGGCACAGGGGTGATGCTCGTCCCTCACTGGGGTCAATTCCCTCCCCAGGCTGGCGATGGACGTGCAGGGGGTTGGGGGTTTTTTGGGTGGGAAGTCGGATTTTCTGTCGGGTTGGTGGTGCTGGATCCCCCTCTGAGGACAGGTGGGATGAAGGTGGCTTTTTCTCCTCCTCCTCCTCCTCCTCCTCCTCCCCCTGCTGGTTCAACTCTTGCCTGAAGACTTTGCAGCTGCCTTTGGGGCAAAACAACCTGATTTCTGCTCTGTGGTGATTTCTCCTGCTTTTCCAAGGCTCCCGGGGGTGGCAGCCCCTGGGCCTGCTCGGCAGTGCCGGGCACCTGCACTTTGCTCTCCCGGAACCCTGGGGTGTCCCAGGGCTTCCACCTGCCTGCCCCCAACCCCATCCAGTGTTTGGGTCCCCAGGATCTCCATCCCTCTGCCAGGGCCTGAAATGGGGGGAGGGTGACACGAGGGCTCCTCATGGGAACCCTGCAGGGTTGAAAGGGCTCCTTTGTGTTGGGGTCGAGCTGGGGTGAGCCCAGACAGCAGGACTGGCCCGTGGGAGTCGAGTTCTACCGATTTTTATCATAACTGTAACACTGAATAGGAACAAATGGCTCAAAACCACGACCCGGGGGAGTTCGTGATGAGGGAGCTCCTGCTCCTTCCCTCCTTTCTCTCTGGCAGAGATGAAAATTCTCCTCGTTGGCTTCCGAGTCCCTCAGGACCGGGCAGGGTGGGAAGGGTTGATGCCACTTTTTCCCCTCACCGAGACTGGTCCCTGGTTCGGGAATTCGGCGGCTCGGATGGGAAATGTGCCATTTTCGGACCCGTGGACCCGTTTCTGTTCGGTTCCCCCCGCCCAGTTCCGTGCACACGGGGGGGCTCTGGTAGCGACGATGCCCCAAATCGAGCCCAGGAGGCGACAGAGGGACGCGGGAGGAGGGTCCTGGGCGTTCCCCCCACCCCCTGCCCCCACCCAGCTGCTTTTGTACCACGAGCTTTGACGATCAATAATGGAAGAAGCCAAAAAAAAAAGGACACCCCCCCCCCGCCCCGAGAAGCGTAACCGTGTAGTATCTATCAGTCCATATCGACGCGTATATGCACCCATATATCGTAGATCGGCCGCCGCCGCGGGGCAGCTCCTTTTTAGCTGAAACCCACCCCCCTCCGCAGCCCCCGAGGGACCCCCCCTCCGCACGGGCTCCTGTGAGCGGGTCCTCACAGCCCCCGCGGGGGCCCGGGGACGCGGGGGGGACCCGGGGGGACACGCCCCAAGCCCCCCCCCAACCCCCTCGGCCGTGTCGTACCAAACATGTAACGTGCCTTTTATTTATGCTGCAAATATAACATTAAAATATTACCCAGGAGACGGTGGTTGTTGCCCTCTGCTTTTGGGGGGTCGGGAGGGGGGGAACATCCCCGGTGTCACCCGTGCCGCGGACACCCCTGAGTGTGCCCGGGGGCGTTCACAGGGTGGGTGTCACCGGGTGGAGGGTGCTGTGATGACCCTCGGTCACAACCGCGGTGACACCGCCTGGACTCAGGACGGCGTGGGACGTGTCGCGTCCCCTCCCCGGGTGACACAGCGGGTGAGCTGCTCGTGGGGACGCCGCGGTGGCGCGGGGCAGCCTCGGGTGAGCGTTTGGGGCGATTTCGGCAGGTTTTGGGTCGGAGGGAGCCGCGGCCGCGCCGTCGGGGCTGCAGGAGCGCGGCGGGGCCACCGGGTGGCGGCAGCGAGACGCGGCGGAGCGGGGGGGGCGCGGGGGGTCCCCGGAAAGGGGAGGGAGCCCTGTCTCGGGGGATCCCCGGAAAGGGGAGGGGGCTCTGTCTCGAGGGGTCCCCGGAAAGGGGAGGGGTCCCTGTCTCAGGGGGTCCCCGGAGAGGGGAGGGGGCCCTGTCTCGGGAGGTCCCCAGAGAGGGGGTACCGGGGCGGGGGGGGGGGGTGTCCCTGTCTCCGGGGGTCCTGCTCCGGTAGGGAAGCGATGCAGGGAGGATGGGGGTCAGCACGGGCCGGGGTCCTGTTTTCAGGTAGTGCCGGTGCAGGACGGGGGGCCCGGCGATGGGCCGGGGGTCTTGATTTACCGGTGGGGGCAGCCCCGGTGGTGGTGCCGGTTGCGGGTCCCGGGCGGGGCGGGGATGTGCGGGACCGCCCCGTCCGTCCGTCCCCGGGGGCGGCTGTCGCGGCTGGTAAATGGGTTTCATTAGCCGGCACTGGTCCCCGCCGCCCCCCGCTCCCCCGGGAGCCCCCGGCCCGGCCCGGCTATAAGAGGCGGCGGTGGCGGCGGGGCGGGGGCGATGGCGGGGGCGATGACGGGGCGCCCGGCGCTGCTTCTGATGCTGCTGCTGCTGGCGGAGACCCCGCGCAGCGCCCGCTGCTGCCCCGGGACCCTCGACCCGGCCCCGGTGAGCCCCGGCCCGGCCGCGCCGTCGGAACGGGGGGTTCGGTTTGGGACGGGGGGAGGCTCGGGATGATTGGAGGGGGGGGTCACACTCCGGCTCCGGGACCGCCGTGACCCCCGGTCCTCCCCCGGCACAGGCCGCCGCCGCCGCCCCCCCGGGGCCACCCCCCGCCGCCGCCGCCCTGGGTGCGCTGCTCCGGTCCCTGCAACGCCCCGGCCGCGCCCCCGGGACCCTCCTCCAGCCCCAGAGGTGAGCGGGGATGGGGGTCCCGGGGTGTGGGGTCTGGGGGCACGGGAGGGGCGTCCCGGGCACTCCGAGGGACGGGGCTGGGGACGGGGGGACCCAGGAGGTGGAGGGGGACACGGGGGGTTTCGGGGGACCCGAGCGAGAAGCTGGAGCGGTGCAGGGCTGGGGGTCCCTGTTAATGTCCGTCTGTCCGTGAACGTCCTGTGTCTGTCTGTCCGTGTCCCTCAGCCCATTCCCATCTGCCCCATCCACCCGTTCATTCCCACCCAGCCATCCCGGCCGTCCCCATCCTGTCCCCGCCAGGGCTCAGCGGTGCCGTGTCCCCCGGCAGGTCGGGGTGGGGGCCGCAGGGGGGGGCCCAGGCCCGGCTCAGCCCCCGGAGCTGGGACCCCCCGCTCGCCCCGTTCTGGACGATGGCGACCCCGCAGCGCTTCGGCCGCCGCCGCTGAGCATCCGGCCCCGAGTCCGTCCATCTGTCCGTCCCTCCTGGAGCCGAGCCCCTCCCAAGCCCATCCGTGGGTTCGTCCGTCACCCAATAAAGTGGTGCCCCCACCCCTGAGCGCTCACTCTGCTTTTACCCCTGGGGGACGGGTCGGGGGGAGGAGGGATCAGCCCCCTTTCTGCCCCCCAGCCCCCCCAGCTCCCCAAGCAGACGCTGACACGGGGAGTACAAATCCCCCCAGCTTTATTCCTGGGGGGCCGATGGTGCCCGGGGACCCTCCTGGCACTGCTGTCGGGGGAGGGCCAGGCCAGAGGGAGCCCCTGGGCCCTGAGGTCCGTCTGTCTGTCCATCCGCAGACCCAGGCGGGTCCCTGTGTCCGGGGGGTGGTGGGTGGGGGCCGAGTGCCCCGCCGTGAGTCCAGCGAGCCTGGGGTGTCCGTGCACCCATGGGTGTGTCCGGGGGGGGTCACTCGCCCCCGGGGGGGTCACTTGCCCCCCGCCATGATGCGCAGGTACTGCAGGGCGTTGCGGGCAGCCTGGGCGCGGGCGCCGTCGCGGGACGGGGCGGCCCCGTGGCACACGGTGGTCGGCTGCGTCGAGAGCTCCACCAGGCACTGGTGCAGCCCACTGAGGCTCAGCGCGTCTGGGGGGGACACCAGGGGTCACCCCGACACCCCCACAGCACCCCCCGAGCCCGGCTTGGGGCACCCATGGGGCTGGGGGGAGTGCCTGGGGAGGGGCAGAGGGGCTGAAAGGGTGTCCCAGGAGAGATGGGAGTGCCTGGGGGAGGTGGGGGTAACCTGGGGAGGGGCAGAGGGGCCAAGGGGGTCCGGGGGTATCCAGGTGGGGTGGGGATACCCTGGGGTAAGTGGGGGACCCTGGATTGTCTGGGTGGCATAGGGGTACCCTGGGGAAGGTGGGGGTGCCTGGGGAGGAGCAGAGGGGTTTAAGGGGGTCCTGGGGGTCCCAGGTGCTCACCGATGTCGAGGTAGCTGATGGCGAAGCTCTGCTCCTCCGAGAGCTCCTGCAGGAGGGCACAGGCCCCCCCTGGCGCGGGGGCTCCCCCCCGGCTCCGCAGCTGCCCCAACTTCTCGCCCGCCGAGTTCCTCAGGGAGTCCCAGGTACAGCCGGGGGCTCGGCCCCGCAGCCCCTCCAGCCGGGGGCACGTCTTGGGGGGGGCACAGGGCACTCAGGGACCCGCCAACACCCCTCGGGACCACTGAGCCCCCCCCAGGGACATGAGAACTGCAGGGACCCCAACACCGGGACACTCACGGGGACCACGCTCACCCACCCCACAGGGACCCCAAATCCAGAGGGTCCCCCCCAAGTTACTCACTGGGCCGTGGAGTGGGGGGTGCAGCCTCCCCCACTGTGGGTGGCTTTGGGGTGCCTGCACCCCTGCTAACCCCTCGGGGTGCCCCCGGGGCTCCCCAGTGCCCCCCAGTACCATGTTGAACTGGTCCTCCTCGCCCTCGGCCTCGCTGCCGTCGCGCGGCTCCATCGGCACGTTGTGGATCCGCACGAGCATCTTGGCGGCCGCGTTGCGCTTCGCCAGCTTCTTGGAGGTGCCACTGCCTGGGGCCCAGCACCCTGGAGTGAGCCAGGACACCCTGCCCCATCCCCACAGACACCCCGGGGGTCCCCGTGTGCCCCCCGGCCCGCGGCTCACCGATCTCCACGAAGCGCTCCACGCGGCACGTCATGGTGAACTCCTTGCGGTGCGCCGGCCCCGACTCCTGGGTCACCGTGTACTCGGGCAGGCGCCAGCCCTTCTGCACCACCAGCTCCTGGGGACGGGGGAAATTGGGACAGGGACACCCCCTGAACGGGGACACCGCCCCAAAAGGGGCCGGCAGCACCCAAAACGGGGATAACCGGCCCCAAAATGGGGATAACCGACCATAAAACGGGGATAACTGTCCCCAAGCAGGAACAACGGGCCCCAAAACGGGGTTAACCAGCCCCAAAACAGGGATAACTGTCCCCAAACAGGAACAACGGGCCCCAAAATGGGGTTAACCAGCCCCAAAATGGGGATAACAGTCCCCAAGAAGGAACAATGGGTCCCAAAACAGGGTTAACCAGCCCCAAAACGGGGATCTGTCCCCATGCAGGAACAACGGGCCCCAAAATGAGTGTCACCCACCTGCAGAGCCCCCACGGGGTTACACTCCGACTGGGGGGGGGACACGGGTGTCTTCATCTCCAGGGGGGGCCCCCTGTGGGGAGCAGAGGGATGAGGGGGGCACCCCACACCCCCCCTGCCTTGGGGGGCACAGTGGGGTAACAGGGTGCTGGGATGGGGGTTTGGGGGACACACCGTGCCCCCCGTGCCCATCCTGGCACTGGGTGCTCCCCCCCCGTTACCTGGGCAAGGGAGGGGGCACGGCAGGGGCTGGGGGGGCGGCGGCAGGGCCGGGCTCAGCCAGGGGCTCTGGGGGGAAAGGAGAGCTGGGGGAGAAAGGGGAGATGTTAAAGCCTGAGCTGGCATCCCATGAGCACCCCCAGACCCCCATGGGCACCGCCAGACCCCCCCTCGTACCCTCACTTCCCCCCAGGCCCCCTTGGGTACCCCCAGACACACCCTGGGCACCCCAGACCCCCACAGGCACCCCTGAACCCCTTGGGTACCCCCAGACCCCCACGGGTACCTCTGTACCCCCTTGGGTACCCTCAGACCTCCCCAGGCACCCCCAGATCCCCCTGAGTACCCCCAAACCTAACTGATCCCAAATCCCACGGGATCCCCAAGTCCCCCCGGGGTACCCCTAAACTCCCTTGGATGCTCTCCTGCCCCACAGATCCCCCCAAATCTTAAGTGCCCTTCACCCCTTGGTACCCCCAGACTGCCTGGGCACTGCACCCCCACCCAACCCCCCCAAACTCCCCCCCAGCCCCTCCTGGACACACTGAATGCCCCCCCCTGCCCCTCCTGGGACCCCCCACCTGTGCTCCGGGGGCTCCAGCATGGCCCCCCCACCTCTGAGCAGCCTCAGGGCCACCTCGGCCGCCTTGTGCTTCGCCGCCTTCTTGCTGGGGCCCTGCCCTGGGGGGCACCGGGGGGGCTCAGGGGGGGGAACCCAGGGGGCCCCTCCCCACCACCCCACCTCCTGCAGGCCCAGGGGACCCCTGAGCATCCCAGAGGATCCCCCATGAGGACCCACTTTTCCAGGGGTCCCAGGGTTTCCTCCTCCTCCTCCTCCCTGGGACAAGTCCCCCAAAGTGTGACACTGTCGTCACCTCTCCCCAGGTTGTGCCCCCCCCCCTCACCCTCCCCTGCATGGGGGGAAACCCTGGGGGGTGAGGGGGGCCCATGGCCTGGGTGTGGAGGTGTTGGGACCCCCTGGTGCAGCTGATGTCCCTGAGGGGACAGGGGTGGGTAAGGAGGTGTTTGGGGGGGGTCAGGAGAGGTTTGGGGTCCTCCTGGTGCAGCTGATGTCCCCAAGGGTGACAGACGGGTCAGGGGGAGGTTTTTGGGGGGTTTGGGGTCCCACCAGTGCAGCTGATGTCCCTGAGGGTGACACAGGGGTCGGGAGGGGTTTGGGGGGAGCTGGGGGTTTGGGGTCCCACTGGTGCAGCTGATGTCCCTGAGGGGCTTCGTGAGGGGTTTGGGGAGGTCTGGGGGGGCTTGGGGGAGTCAGGAGGGGTTGGGGGGCATTAGGAGGGCTTTGGGCGGGGTCTGGGGGTGGTTGGGGTCCCACCGGTGCAGCTGATGTCCCTGAGGGGACAGGCAGTTCAGGAGGGGTTTGGGAGGGTCTCGGGGGGCTTGTGGGAGTCAGGAGGGGTTTGGGGGGGTCAGGGGGGGATTGGGGTCTCACCGGTGCAGCTGATGTCCCCGAGGGTGACGCGGAAGGTGAAGTTGGGCTGGTGGGCCTGGCCCTCGGCCTTGAGCAGGTCGTAGCCAGGGGTCCGTCCTAAGCGTGTCCCATATTCCTGCAGGAGGCTGATGGGCGTCTTCCCGGGGCTGGCGGCCACCATCTGCTCCAGGCTGGCACACAGGGACAGGGACAGCGCTGTCACCACCCCCCGAGACCAGGGGGGGACACGGGGACTAAGAGGGCACCAACAGGGAGCAGGGGGACAGGGGTGGCACCGCTTCCCTGTGGGTCAGAGGGGACACAGGGACACGGGTGTGGCAGTGCCAGGGCATTAGGATATGGGGATGGGGGCGGCAAGAGTGGGGACACAGGGACAGGGTTGGCATCACCTCGTGGCACAGGGACAGGGGGTGGCACTGCCATGTAGTGTGGGGACACAGGGACCGGGGGGGACACGTTGACAGGGGTAGCATTGGCGTGTAATGGGGTGACAGGGATGGAGCCCCCACACAGTGAGGGGACGGGGGTGGCACTGCCACACAGCACGGGGACAGGGGGACACAGGGACGGGGTGGCAGTGCCACACGGGGATGGGGGTGGCACTACTGGGGACAGGGGGACAGAGGTGGCAGTGCCACACGGGGACAGAGGTGGCACCACCGGGGACACTGGGATGGGGGTGGCACTACCACGTGGGGAGGGGGGTGGCAGTGCCACACGGGGACAGGGATGGCACCACCGGGGACTCAGGGACCGCGATGCCACCGTCACACCTCATAGGGACACACCTGTCCCCCCCTCCTCCCTCCCTCGCGTGGCGACACGGGGACAGTCCCGCGTGTGTCCCCCTCCCCCGACCCTCCCCGCCGCCGCCCACTCCCCCCTCCCCCGCGGCGCGGCCTAGGTCGCCCCTTCCCCCTGCCCGCCACCCCCGCGGCGCGGGGGGGTCTGTGCCGGGTGCGGGGGCGGTGCCTGGCGCGGGGGGGTCCCGGGGGGGTCCCGGTACCTGGGGAAGGCGCCGCCGCTCCGCCGGGCCCCGCCCGCCCCCTCCTCGCTCATCCCCGCCGCTCCGGCCGCCGCCCGCGCCGCCAGGGGGCGCGCGGCATCACGGGAGGCGAGCGCCGCGCGGGGGGGTCTGGGAATCGTAGTCCGGTCGCGCCGCCCACCCCGCGCGCCGACGCGGCTCCGCCCCCGCCGGCGGACTACGATTCCCACAATCCCTCGCGCGAGGAGAGGCGGGGGTAGAGGAAGCGGGGAGGAGGTGGAAAGCGGGTCACGTGACTCTTGGAGGGG